AGTGTTCTTCGAGCCACAACCGCGCCTCTTGGAACGAATAAAATTGCAATAGTATTCTGGTGAAAAGACTAAAGCAAAGTTGGAAGAACAAAGTTCTAGATTTCTATTAATGTCTTGGATGATGAAAAATAACATGGAGGTTGGTCCTTTATATAGGCACCAAATAGATCTAATCCTAATATATCTATAACTCTAGGAAAGCAACAAAATATTAAGTATCCTAAACAATCTAGATCTCATAATGTAAGATGGAAACAACTTGACTTGCACTCCACTCAAACTCTCTCTCTCTCTCTTTGGCCCTACGCACGCGAACGCCCAGGTCCAACCGCCTCAATTGCGCACCGCCTCCATCGGCCCTACTCCTTAAGGATTAGGGCACCGCCCTTAGCGCGTGCACGCTGACCTGACGTGCGGCGCACGCTTGCGCCCATCGTGCCGCCCTCGTGCGCGTGTCCACCCGCCATTCCGCATTCCTCGAGGACTACAGCTTCGCGTCCCGCGCGTCCCTCCTCATCAGGCGTGTTGCGCGCGCCTTCGCCCTCTGATGCTCCTCTGCGCGCATGCTGCCCCGCCTTTCCGCATGCCTCGAGGCATGCGGCCTCGTCCGCTGCGCGTGCTTCCCCCGCGCCCGGCCTTTCCGTGCGCGCGCCCAACAACCCCGCGCTACGCACGTCCTGCCCATCTACGCCACGCCTGCTAGCCGCGCACACCGCCCGCACATCCGCGTGCAGCCTATCTTCGCCCGTCTCGCGCGCACTAAGCTCTAGTGCGCGTACTTCTGCCATCGCTCGTGCCTGCCTCTTGCGTGCATGGTAGGCTCGACTAGCGGCGTTCTTGAGCCGCCTAGCCACTTCCGCATCACCATGCCCTTACCCAATTCCGTCCGCAGCCGCGGCAAGGCCGCGGACCGAGTCAGTAGCCAACCAACCGGTCCAGGTAGACCGGCGGTTCGGCCAGACCGGTTCAGACCGGTTTTAACTGGTTCGGACCGATTCAGTCCTTAAATTATTAGTTAAATCCCGGTTCATGTTTCTAAGTCCTGTTTTCAGTTAAGTTCTGGGTCCAGTCCAGTTCAGTAAAATCATGTCAGTTCAGTTCCAATTTTAGCCGGTTCCAGTTGTACCGGTTAAGTTCAGTAGAGCATCTTAACATAATTAATCAGTTAATTTATCATTTTGAGCACAGTGTTTTAGTGCTCACTTCCCACTTATTTCATGTTTTTCAGGTCACAGGGTCGGGGACGAGGAGTGAGCTGACGTGTTGTTCAGGATATTTGTTTTGTTATGTATAAACTATGTTTTGAACACGCTACTTTCCGCTAAAACTTTCAGTACTTAAACTCAGTTTTGGTCCGACACTAGCCGTTTTTATTATCAGTTTAAAATTAACGGTTGTTCAGTCAGATTTTCACGGTAGCACCCCGAATCAGCTTTCGCAAATAAATATTTTATTAAATTATTCAGAAAATTTGCGAAAAAGCGTACTCTGATTTCAGTAAAAAGGCGGGGTGTTACAATTGGTATCAGAGCACGTTTCTGCGTCTCTGAAAAGTTTTATAAGTCAGAAATTTGCAGAAAAACCTGAACCGTCACGCTCATGCCTCGCCGACTACAAGTAAGTGCTGATTTATGTTTTCAGTTATAAACATATTACTTTGCCTATGCTCAGAAATTATTAATCATGACTTAGTTAAGATGCTCGAATTAGGTTCAGACCTTAGAATTCAGTGTACTCAGATATAACTCTAGATTTCCTCAGGATTCATGTCAGTAATTTCCCAGTCATGTTTAGCGACTTGTCAAGAAATTTGTGTGCTTTATTGATCAGTTTCAATAAAGTCATCTGTAAGGATGTCGGGATCAGAATTCAGAACCGTAGAAAGGGGCTAAATTAATAACTCTAGATTAAATTCTAGATTTATTCAGGTCGAATTTACAACTCGTCAAGAGATTTGTAAACACTTATGTTATACAAATCTTAGTAATCATGTTCCTCAGACATTTTCTATCGAAAATTACCATTTTTGCCAACTAGTTGGCAGATTTCAAAGAGGAATTCCTTGAGTTAGATCAGGGAATAGACTCAAATCTCTTAAGACAGATCAGTAAATCATGTTCAGGGCTAAATTTTCATGTTAAAGGTTGTTATAATTTTCAAGTCATTGTCAAGGTAGCGGTTTCCAGTGTATAAGAGTCAATAGTCCGGGTTACCATGGAGGCTTGAAATAAGAGCCACTCAGTCGTGTATACCATGGAGGCTTGAAGCTGGGGCCGGAGCAGTATGATTTCATGTAATCACAACCTTTAAAGTCAGTCATGTCAGGTATTTTACCAATCATGATATTCCAAGTTATGATTTTCAAAGTTAAGATCAGTTAATTCCTTTATACTTGCGGGACCAGTTGATACTGGAGCAGTCCTATACAGTACATAGTCATGAGTTAACATTCAAGATATAAGGTCAATGTTCATGATTTAAGGTCGACGTATAATAGTTGTTCAGTCGGGTTAAATATGGAGGTCTGCAATACAGACTATTAATCCAATTCTACCTGGAAACTTGAAGTCGCACCTTATCAAGTCAAGTAAATCAGTAAATGTCATGTTCCAAATTCCGAGGCGACTATTTAATTGTCTAGGGATAGCTTTCAGAGTTCAGGTAAAGATGATTCAGTCATGTAAATGTCAAGTCATGATTATTCAGTTATGTGAATATTCAGGCCAATCAGGTGAAGATCAAGGATAGTCTGTCTAATAAGATAAGACTTATCAATCAATTCAAGTATAATCAGTGCCTCGAGTCTCAAATTTTGAAATTTAAGAAATTGAAAGAAAGATTAGCTCATGACAGACTTTTCTTGAGGTTAAGTTTGACCTCAGGGGAAGGAAAAACAGTTGCAGGTACCAAAGGTTGACATACGACGCAACACAGAAATGCCAATCAACAGCAACAGATCATGCCATGATGATAAACCGACGCTTTCCATTCAAGGATGCATGACGCAAGAAGAGAAGGATGCCATGCCTGAGTCACAGTACACTGGGAAATTACAGAGAGTTAGCATTATAGTACATTGAGGTTATTAGCTTAAGGTACAGATATACAGACTACGTCGACGACGCAGGTGCAATGTTCGCCAGGTGCTGTATGCAGGCGTGCCACACTCACTTGGTGAGGACCAGGTGTGCCGCAATACGATGTGCCGTGAACGATGTGCCGCGTTATCGAGCAGATGTTCATGGAATGTAATTACCAATATTGCTAGTTATCCTCTTTTGTACACATGCGTATCTCTGGAATCTTCCGGGTGTACCAACGACCGGGGTTTTCCACCATAAGCGTTCAGACAGAAGATCAGCAAGCAGCCAGGAAATGATGACCAGTGCGCTCAAGAATTACGTTTTGAGATCATGTGTAATCAGTAAAACACTTTATTTCAGGAGAGTGTCCATTCTCAGTCAGCAGTAATCAACAATTCACTTAATTGTGAATTGATGACTCTTCAATCCAAATCAAGTCTATTATTCAGTC